AAAAAGTGATTTTCTCTAAAAAAGAATTCTGTGACTGGATCTTCCAGAATCCTGTGACTAGGTCTTCAAGTTTCCAATGCCATCTTTAAGAAGAGCAACTGAGACTATAAATGGATGATGGCCAGAACACATATGATAATATATTTCAAAAAAGACGGATAAATAGTCTCAGTAAAAACTACTAGTTTGGGTTTGATATGATTTCTTGTGTTGTATGTCTTCTGCTCTTCAAAACAAACAAAGAAAAAACTAAAGCCTGGTTAGGATGAAAATATTAACAACAACAACAACAGTAATAATAACAGCCAATTTTGAGTATTTATTATGTACCAGGCACTGTTCTAAGTATTTTAAACTAACTCCCAGAAAAAAAATCCTATGTGGCTAATACTATATATCAGGTTATACCCTAACCTACAACCTACAGCTTCTGGAGCAATGAGCCTGGGAAGCCAAACCACACAGCCCCTGCTGCCATCAGCCCAGAAAGACCAGGACTTGGTCGATGACTGCCAGCTTCCTTATTTTTCTGAACCCTTCCAACACAGGACCCACCAGAGAAAGCCCTAAGCCCCTCTCAATAGCCCACCTCCAGCTCTCCTGTGCTAATAGCTACCAGTTAGAACCTACATGAAACCTTTCTTTTTTCCACCGTATTCAAAGAAAAATTGTACCAGATGGAGTGAAACAGGCAAGGAAGAAGACTTTACTCAAGACTACTGCTACAGGAGAGACAGACTGAACCCAACTCCTTTGAAACAAAAGGTTGGAGAGTGTTTAAGCACTCAGGTGAGCTAGTGGAAAAGTCCTGGAGGACACTGGTGGGGAAGCCGGTCACTGCCATGGAAGAAGCCTTCTGTGTCCGCCAACCAAAGCTTATGAAATTGGGCTCCTACCCCTCACGGAGACTGGGAGTCAGGGGCCCTGTCTTTCTAGACTACATTTCAAAGGGACGGCTTTCAGGTTCTTGAGAAAGACATTCCTGGGTTGTAAAACTGGCAAGAGGTTGGGGAGATTTACACCTCTAGGAGCAGAGAAGGACATTTATAATTGCAAGTTTTCTTAAGTAATGCTCTAAGGAGAGGGAGGTCAGAAGCTGCAGCTGGGAAGACGCCTGTCGAAAGTTTAGTTGAGCAAAGAGTCTTATTAACATCACCTTGGTCATGTACTATAAAGCTTTCCCACTGTCCTGCCTGCCTTTGCTTCCCTGCTGGCTGACTCCCCCTCTATACTAAGTTCCGAATAAACAGCATTTTGGTCCTATTTTGTGAAGACTGCAGTCTCCTAAAAGTACTCATTCTGACTTATACTTAGAAATCTGAGTTTAAATTAATTTGAATTTAAATTAATTCCTTGCTTTGAAGCTAGCCACATCTTATGTTTTGGTAGCTTTTGACTGCATAGTGCCTAATAACTGATTAAAATTCCTTATTCTTTCCAAAGTAAA